AGACCTAAAGATACAGTAAATATACATATCACCTCTGATTTACTTCAAGTAACTGAAATTGATACTCATTTATCGTAAAAATAATGACAATCATAATGATAAATTCGCTTGATTAAATAAGACACATACTCAATAGGCCGGCCATCAACAGTAAATTGATGGAATTTACCAGGCCATATGTAAAAATCAAACGTTTATTAATAACAAGAAGAATAATAGTAATAATAATAATAATTTCATGAATCATTAGAAATGTAATTTTCAATAGGGCATCAACAGTAACTACTGGAATTCACCAGGCCCTATCCAGAAATTCAAATCAAACATCTAACAAGAATAAAAAGAATAATATAATTTGCAGTAGAATAAAATACACAACGAAAATATACTGGTTGCTTATTGAAGCAGAAGACTGATAGCAATTTCTGTTCATCTGAAAGTGAGATTTTTTTTGTTTAATTGTATCATAAATAATCATTCTTCCCAGTCGGATATTTCAATTCTTAGTGAAAAAAGTTGATAGGGGTGTAACCCAGGAAAAACATATATGCAGTGTGTGCGATTTCTGATCGCAACACCCTCTTATTTTGAAAATCGCTGACCTATTTTGAAAAATAAAAATCCTATAATACAGACTCTACGAGCACTATTTGACTGTTTCAACAAATCTAAAAACCATGTTTGAAAATGACTATTAGGCAAGTTTTTCTAAAAAATGGGTAGCCTATTCAATTCAGGAATAGCTTGAATACCACCATACAGAATCTGAATACAATACCTCATATAGGGATATAGTTTTTCGATGACAAATTCCAAAATGATTGCTTTTTTGATTTACACTTATGAAGATTTTGAAATAAATACATTTACACCAATATGATACAATCTATTATTTTTCCTAATTTTTGTCATTCAATTAACGAGCAATTTCATCTTGAAAATTGATCAAAAAAAGGGGTAAACACAGTAGAGCATTTAGGATTCAGTGCTTTCTTCTTTCTTTTTCTTTCGAAATATGAATAAAATAGGTAATAGGTGGACATATTTTTTCTGACGTCATTTCCGCCATTTTGAAAATGTTTACACGAAAAAATATACCCTATACACAGCTATTCAAATTTCCTCTGCCAAATTCGCATTTGCAGTATTCCTGTCCTGTTATAAGCCAAGGGCGGGAAGTTTGAATCACCCTGTACAATAACAACTTGTTTAAAATAAAAATCTCACATACATAAACCAATATTTTTCAATGATTTTGTCCATTTTGTCCAATAATTTCTTCCATTTCATAAGAGGGACTGTACATCATCATAAAAGTGGAAAAACTGCTCTGAAATGATGAGAAGCTAAATCTTTAGGAGAAATCCCATAACCGAGTCCTTGTTGGCCACAATGAATCAGGTGATACTTTTGGATTCATGCGTATTCATTTGCAGAAAACCCCTCGGGTCTCGAAACCATGAGAAATATTTTTAGATTAGAAGATGCGCCAATGGACACAATGGGCTGACGCCACGCTATTAGTAGACCAGGATACAACTCCCAGATCAAACTCGGCCTTCATCATAGTTTTTGAAAATTTTCTATCAAATAACACGAATCTCAACACATCACAAGATGTAAATTCTTCGAAATATTTAGACTCTTTTCTAAAGCGGTATTTTAATGAAGGAACACATCAAATATAAGTTTTACTGAAAACTGTATCTAGCTTAACTAAAAATCACTAAACCCAAAGTTGAGGTTCAGCATTTGGAATACTCCGTTTATAATTATAACTCACTTGACGAAATAATTCTTGACTGATATAGAACTGTAAAGTATAACAAATATATATGACATGAATAATTTTCAAAGACTGAAGAAGGTGTATACAGTCTGACTGATGCTTGATTTATACAACGTATACCGATTTTGATTAAATGGAATGGAATTTTGAGATGACTGAAAATTCTCGAGTATGGAGAATATTTTCTCGAAATAATTATTATTGCTCTTATTTATGGAAAAAAATATGGTTCATGACATGTTGTTGAAGGTTTGATGAAAATGTTCTAATTTGATTCGTTTTCAAGATACAGGGTATTGAAATTAAAAATGAAAGTATTTTTCCGTCAACTACTAGAGAACAGCTCAATGAAAATCAAATATCTACTGTAGAAGTCCATATCATCTTAAAGTGGATTGAAGTAGTTATAATATAATAAAACTCTCCAAGTCGTCTCCACAACGTTCAAGTTCAAGTTCATGAAGGGGAGAAGATGTTTCAGACCCAAAAGGTGTCCATCATAACAATAATAATATCTTTCGGCTAATGATGGACACCTTTTGGGTTCGAAACATGTTCCCCTCTTCATGAATTTGAAATTAAACGTTGTGGAGACGACTTGGAGAGTTTTATTATATTATCAGGGAATCAAAAATATTCTAGTAAGGGTCAGTTTTATAGGTTGAAGATAACTGTGACCTTAACCTAACTTCTATTTCAACCTATGGTTGTGTTTATGGGTGGATGTTAACCAAAACTGTATATGGTGGATGAAGTACCAGATGCCTTGGAGATTTGATATTTGATGCATTCTCTCCTTGATAAATATTCAATGTTTCAAATTTCAGAAGTATAGCTAGAAAAACAAAGGAGAATCTATGAATATTGCTAAAATGTAAACTACTTTTTACCAGAATGGAAACAAGAAATAATGATAACAATTCTAAAACTTCAAGCAGACAAAAGCCGACTTGAAAACTACAGACCAATTACTCTTGTATACCGGGTGGCTACGAAAGTATTGCCTACGGAATATCTCAGTTATTGTATGAAGTAGGTTTGTGAAATTTGGAGCGTCGATGTAATGACATGAGAGCTAATTTCTGAGCATATTGACATGTCGAAGTTAACTTCCGGTCTGACCGGAAGTAACATCAACTTTCTTATTTTAAATGGAAACCCTATTTTTTTTCTTTTCGCTTCATTCAGCATTCAATTCCCTTTCTGATGACATATCACAAGTTGGTATCCAACCAGAAACTAGATCAGAAAAAAATTATTATTGAAATTCAGCGAGTAGGCCGTGGAAGCAAAATGAAAGCCAAAAATTGAAAAGTTGGCTATGGAAACCATACGTCACTTGATAACAGTTGCTACTACTGTGATATTTTATTTTCATTCGTCGGCGTTATAAAAAGCCGCCAAAAAAAAAATTGGAAAAATTGGGGAAAAAACAATACTCTGTAGGTCCATAACTTGAATAGGAACATACAACTTTTTCTTGCCTGTACTATTCAGCATAACCATTCCTTTCTAATGATATAATTGAAAGTCATTTTTTGGCTTTCATTTTGCTTCCACGGCCTACTCGGTGAATTTCAATAATAATTTTTTTCTGATCTAGTTTCTGGTTAGATACCAACTTGTGATATGTCATTAGAAAGGGAATTGAATGCTGAATAAAGCGAAAAAAAAAAAAATAGGGTTTCCATTCAAAATAAGAAAGTTGATGTTGCTTCCGGTCAGACCGGAAGTTAACTTCGACATGTCAATATGCTCAAATTCTAGCTCTTATGTCATTTTATCAACGCTCCAAATTTCACAAACCTACTTCATACAATAACTGAGATATTCCCTAGGCAATACTTCCGTAGCCACCCGGTATGTTGGACTGTCCCAAACATATCCATCTTATAAAATATTGCCTGTACAGACGATTCCTACAAATAAAACTACAACAAGCTCAATCAGCAATTTTCCACCCACAACAAGTACTAAAAGGCGCACCCTAATCATCCTTCAATATTTACGGCTCTAACCTATCAGACTTGATCAAAAAAATCCTACATGAACAAAACATATTCACATTTCATCTGGAAGCACTTTGGGATAGTGTGATAATTTTAAACCATAAAATAGATCAATCTCGCACGGTAACTGTTAACAATCATTTGGTGAATTAGTGCAATAGCCAAATACCTAGGAGTGCATATAGAGCCGAAATTGAACTTTCACTGATGAAAAAAAAATGTTAACACAAGAGCGAAACATTTTCGGAGCTCAATCAACAAAAACAAAAGAAATTAACCAAAGAACAGCAGCACATTATGTATAAAACCATTTGTCGCCCAATCCTAGAATATGTCCAGCCTATATACATCAACACTATGAAGACGACAAAGAAAAATTTAGTGGTAGCAGATAGATCTAGCTGAAAAGCCATAAATAGAATATGACATTCTTGAAGTCCCCTTAATAATTTCATTCTATAGGTAACAATTATACTATTTACAAATCAATTTAATAACATATGCAAAGAAGCTGAAGAACCTCAGTCGATAGCCTATTGGGTAGCCAATAAAACGCCTTATTATTATTATTGTTATTAGAATTTGCTATTGATTAATCAGCCCCCTAAATGAGGTATTGTATTCCAATGTTTCATAGATGTATTTCCGCTATGCCCAAATCCAATAGACCACCTACTTTTTCTAAAAAAATGCCTGATAGTTGTTTTTCAAACTTTGACCCTTTCAACAAACAGAAAGATATTAGCATTTTTGATTGGTCCAAGAGAATTCGTCGAGTTGTTTTCTGAAAATAGGGTCAACGATTTGAAATTGAATAGAAAACACAATGAAATCTTGGTTTGATCAGATAAGGAAGTGCAATGGAAGACATAACATATATCTCATTGTTTCATGAAAAACATTTGAGAAAGAACAATTTTGTGTTATAGCGGTAGAAAAAGGAATACTGCCTACTTGTACAATTTCAAGTTGGTCAACATTCGAAACGAAAAATGGAAAGTATTCGGTAAAATTTGATTCAACTTTCGATTTCCTAATTCTATTCAGTGCCTGAATACTCGTTTCATTTACCGTTTGTCTGCCTCTCTCACTCACTTTCATTTGGGTAGCCTTCATTCTGGAAACTTCTCAATGGTTTTCGATGAAGGAAATATACCTTGAACCCAAAAACCTTTTTGTTATACCCACATTATCCAGTTATTTGTGTGCACCATTTGTATTTTGTACCAAAGTTATTTACATTTTTATCCTTGCCGATCATGATTTATTGACATGTTTTCACTCATCCATTTGCTCATGATACTGGAATTTCACTGGTTACCCATGAAGCTTTAGTTACTTTAACTTTCAATAGTCCGGGGTTGAGAGGAACAAATCTGAAAAAACAAAAATACCAGATTTCACCAATGTTGCTTGTGTGTTTGTCTTTATGAGAAGTTAATTCACTTCAAAACAAATTCTTAAATGTGACATTCTTCTCAATGTGACAAATATAGCACGCCTCTGCATTCAGAATATTATTTTAAATGCAGTGACAATGAAATATACATTCTTTATCCCTAAAATTTTTTTCGTATTTATCTTTCTCTAGAAAAAAATATTTCTACATGCCCCGCCATGACTCCTATGACTAAAAATTGAAGTCTGGACAGCTGCAAAGAATGATTATCCTATGAATACTTTCAAGAACTTCAAAAGTTCTTTGTACTAAAATGTCCTATCGGAATTCCACCTATTCTCAAAAAGCGTGCACCAGATTCTCTGCAAGATATTCACCTCTCACCATCTTGTACAAGTCAAGTGTTTTTCCATCCTGCTGGAAGATACCTAGATTACAACATATCCCTAAAAAAGGGAAGAACAATTTGCACAGCAACTATAGATCTATCGCGCTGTAATCAGTTATTTCCAAAGTGATGGAAAAGCCATGAAAATTGAACTTATAACAATGTGTGGTACCATCAGTCTCACAAAGTCCGCATTATCTATGCTTGGCCTCTTCATTAGTAATACCCTTTCATGGGAAAATCATATCAGATCCATCGCAAAAGCGGCTTCACAAAAACTCGAATTTTTATTCCATGCGGAAAGCTACTTTACACATCAACAGCTTTTTATGATCTTCAAAGCCAAATCGACTAGAATGTTATGTGTGTTAGTTGATTGCTTCAAGGATGGCAGTAATAGGGAATTCTGATAGTGCACTCATCATTTTCGAACAGCTGAGCCGTCTAACATGAAGATGGTGATTTTTTTTGTGGGAGTCGGCAGATCGATCGTCTTCGTGTATACTGCAGCCACTTGGGCTTATTGTATAACTCCCATCATCTACTCCACCCACTCCAGAAATCTGGTTCCCTGCACTAGCTTGTACAAGTCCTTTGCCGAGTGGTTCTGATATGCATGTGGTTCCATTCCTAGTCCTCTGTGGTCCAGTGCAGCCCCATTATGTTTTCAGGTGTCCTCTCACAGGAAGGTGTCCTGTGAGAAGTCCTGCGATTGACCTCAACTGACTTCTGTTCAGTTGTAGTAGGTCTTTAGTTGCCTTTTTCAACAGCTTGCTGCATGATGAGCCAATATCACATCACAATATTCCTTTGAAGGAAAAAGTAGTTATCATTGCATACTGGCACCACCTGGCACAGTGATAGTGAACATGAGCTCAAACAATCCGTCCGTTTTTTTTTCTTTTCGATGTTGTCGAATGTTGAACAGTGTCAAATGTGTACACATTTTGAGATACCCATGACGTAAAAAATTGGGGTAACCATTAGAAAGATATTTAATGAAGCATTTGATTTTATTGGATTTCCAGGGTTTCATTCATCCTTGTCACCTATTGCTCAGACAGGTATTTCAGTTTGAATAAATATCATACATTTACACGAATGGGCGTGTACACCTTAGTAGAACTTTTAACTCAAACCATGTATATAATGATCCTTTTATACATAAATAATGATTGACGACATAATTCGATCGAAAAATTAACTGGGAATATTTTATTTTTGGGCATAAATAATAGTACCTTCTGAAAACGGACCCTCTTATGACGTAGAAACCTCATCTCGCCATAGTTAAAAGAAAATACCAAATGCTCGACGGAGACTGAGGCAACTGATATATTAATCCTTTCAACTGTGATCTCGCGCTAATTCACTCTCTCAGAAATCATGTATCATTCATCTCTGTCTGGAATAGTCTTGTTTCAGTATTAGGATTTTGACGTCACATCATCGCCTCGTTTTCAGAGGTCCGAAAAATCGGGGATTTCAATAATTTTTTATAAAACGTAGGGAGCTCACAGCAAGAAACGGTTTGCGGTGGTGAGCTAGTTTGGGTGAGTTCTATCAAATTATGGAATAAAATTTTTTTGTGATATAAGCCCATTGCTTTGTAGGCACTTTCTGGAATGGTAGACTTATACTTTTTTCGCTCTCTTACATCTGCCACCCTGTATAGTTAATATATTTTTTATCACTACATAACTATTATTGTAATATCAATACTTACTTTATATTTCTCTTTTTCAATCTAGCCTGCACAGCCGGCTTTATTCTGGAGATTCCCCCTTCACTCCTGTTACCTCTCCCAGTGATGATCTGAAGATATTCAGACTGTTTTGTGTTGCTCAGGCGCAAAAGATTTATATTTCTATCCAGAAAAACATCTAGAGATGGAATAGCTTCCTTTACATAAAGAAAGTGCAAGTCCAAAGTGTTAAAGTCCTGCAAACGCTTCGAGTGTTCGTCAAGAAAAGCCATAGCTGCTAGGCTATTTGCCCGTTCGAAATACATAGTTTGTGAGCTGGCCAGACCAGAAAAAAATTGCGCCACTTCTGTCATTCCTCTTTGGTAGTATTGCTGGGCTTTTTGATATAAATCCGCTCGTTTTTTCAGATATTTGCTGGCCTCTTCCCGGTAAAATGTAGCTTCGCGAACCTCTCCATATTCCTAAAAGAATTTTTCGTCACAGTATGAAGTTAACCATAACAATCTTTTTAGTGTACATTTCTATCAATCTATCATTGCTCTCATGGAAGCACTCTGTATCTTCCGTAATTATTCAGGTGATATTCTGAAATTCCGAGAGAAAATGCCAAATCTCAATAATTAGGGAACACACGGGGGTGGTTGCTTTTAGTAGTAAGAGTTTTCAAAGCTGAACAATTTTTGAGAAGTTGTAATGGTGGTAAATTCGAAATCACTTTACGAAAATGTCGGTGATTCCATGACTTTTAGCGAGCATAAAAGGTGATTGTGGCATAGACCATAAATACATGTTCCCTGAGAATATAGGACGTTTGAATGAAGGCAAACAAAACAGTTTTTCTTATATCATCCCACAGAGTGAACCAAATTCTGAATTCGTGTTTTTAATTCATCATACTACATTGCATTTAGAAGGTTTACTTGTCAAATTTTGATAGGATGTCACCAGCGGTTGTTTTGGTATGTTTTTTTCACTGTTTCATTATTCATTTTCTATTACAATTTCAAAATGTATGCCTTAGCCTTAGACGATGAAGAAATGTATGAATCTTCGAGATTCATTCATTGGTGTTCTTATCCAAGATAGTCTAGGTCTAGCTTGAATTTTTATGTTTATCTCAAGATGAATTTCATATGTAACTTCAATCAACATTATTTATTTTACTAAGTAGCCAAAAACAATGCAATAATAGTTATTTATACACCAAGGTAGTGAAAAATATCATTATTGCCCGAAGCTTCGGCCGACGGAAATAAGGTCCGATGGTAAGAATATTATTTACTACCAAGGTGTATATTGCATTTTTTCACCACTAGCAATATATTGCCATCCTCATAGTTCAGTGAAACTGAAATATGGAGCTATTGTCACTATGAAAGCACTTCATTTCAATTCTAATTAAAATCTAGTAGCCATGACCATGACAGCATAATGACAAGTCGATATTGATAAATACCTACCATATTCGAGTGCCATTCCTATAAATCTCGCATCAGAACAATGAATTCTGATTAATTATAACAGAGGTGGCTATGTCTAGTAGTTCATAAAAGGTAAATGACGAAACCTACCTTCGTAGAAAAAACACACTTCAAGCATTGAAAAGGAGTAAATAATAAAAAATGAATTTTCCTTTTTTCATATCATCAGGATGTTCCGCTCTATCAAACTTTGCCCAGTATTTCTTTCTGTAGCAATTCAGTCTGACAGTGAAATTTCGAAGATTTCGGCTAAATAATTGAATACAGAAATAACCGAAAATACCCCAATAACATTTAGGAAAATCTAAATACTATTCATCAGGATGTTCCACCCTATGAAAATTTGCCGAGTATTTCTATTTTGTAGCAATTCAGTCTAAAAGTGAAATTTCGGAGATTTCGGCTAAATAATGAAATACAGAAATATACCGAAAATACCACAATAACATTTAGGAAAATATGAATACTATTATTAGGGTATATTTTTGTATGTGGCAATTTAGTCTGGTAATCAAAAGTAATGGAAATTTGAAAACAACCAATAGATTCCCAACTCAATAATACCAGTGTGCTGTCATGAGAAGTGAGACATGATATCGCCTCAACCTCAGTAACGGACACTTCAAAATGTCGTAAAAAAGTGAGCTCATATTAACACTCACCTCAGTATGATTACTTCTTTGTGCCTCTTTCATTTCTTCTAAAACATCATCATTTATGGGTGGCTCTTTAATGGCCTCTAAATTACCTTTGATATTATCTGGGCCTGTTGATGCTATCAAAGTTTCTATAGTATCTTGATATTTATTATCATGAGCATACAAAATCTCGACTAGCGTTTCTTGGGGAACTTTGGGGAATATTCTAAATAACTTCTGTCTTGTTAATTTTGCAGCTAAATTATCTGGATTGAGTTTCTTCCAATTGTCTGCTTCTTTTTTAGCTGAGGATTCTGCAATTTGTTGATCAGTCATAATTTCTTTTAGATTTGGAACAGGTGGTGTTTTGGTGGTCTGCATTTCTTCATTTTCTTTTGCTTGTAGTTTTCTTGCAAATTCTTCATCTTCTTGAGTAAGTGTATTCATAATTTGCATCTGATTCTCCATTTGCTGATATACACTCTCTATATAAAATGTGTAGAGTTGCCTTGCCAAAGTAATTGGCACCTGAACGACTGGTTGCAATCCCCTAGGATATTGAAGTTCTAGATTTCCAAATGTATTCTCCAATTGGTTAACGAGATGGTCCCCAAGATTTATTTCGATTGTTTCCTCGAACGGAATGCATTTATTTCCTGAATCATCAACTTGATCATCGATATCCAATTCATCAATTTCCATGTCAGAATCTATTACAATTATGTCATCAGTTGTTTCAGATATTTCATTTAACTGAGCAGAAGTCGAAGGTAGGTTCGGATCAACTGCCATTTTACTACTTCCTGCAGACAACTGGTCAGAAAACTTTGATTTTTTAATTCTCAATAAATGTTTTGAATAATGGTCTTCACCAATATCAATCTTACTTTCAATTAATCTTTTCAAGTCACTATTTTCTACGAATGATTTTTTAACCTTCTCATTTCGTTCGGCAGTAGAAGATTCCACTTTATCGTCAGAAAGTATGCTGCTATTTGAATCGGGCTGGCTAATATTTTTTTGCGGTTCAAGAAAATCACTGTCAATTAGGGATGATATTTCTTCTTTAGCTTCTAATAGAAATTCTATTGTCCACTCCAGATCCCCTTTACATTTGTTATACCAGTATGACAGATGTGGCTTTGGTACAGAAGGAAACAAATTAATTAGTTGTGATATATGATTTTCATAGTCTTCATAAAGATCATCAGTCATGCAGCTTTTGTCAAGTGTAGATAGTTTTGATACATGTAGAGATTTATTCGGTACCGAAATATTGATATTGCGATTGAAGGTTTGCAAAATTTTCAAATCGCCATAATTTGAAATTGATTCGCTTCTTTGCAAAACACGAAAGTATTCGTCCTCAGTGCCAAAACAGGCATCTCTCTTTTCTACCACATCATTGACAGCAACTAACTCTGTGGCTTGACAATTGGTAAAACAATCTTCAATTGGAGTAACGATATCCCAGGATCTTAAAACATCATGACTAATGCCCCATAGAGTTTCAACATCTGGAATTTCTTTTGCTGCTTCATCTTGCAATTCATTATCATCGTCACTGCTAAGCTCCATGATTTCCTCATATCCATTCACCAACGAATGGGTTATTTCGTTTTTAATATGTCTTTGAGGCCCATTTGTCACATTAATTTCTTTTCCAGTATGTTTAGACTCATAATTTGATTTCTGTTGCAAATCTTGTGAAGTCATAAGACTGTTGACACAACTTCTAGATTCAGCCTTTGATGCACTTACATTTATGTGAGTAGGAGGATATAACCTCAGCTGAGGTTGCTTTTGAGCTGTGTAAGCAACCTTACAAAAACTCAAGAGTTTTTGAGGAGTTACATTTCTTTCGTAACGGGCAAGCATATCTTGTATTTTAGCTTTACCTACACCATGAGCATTCCGTTTAGACAACTCTTTATAATCGAAACACCAATGAGTATCCGGTTCCAGAATGTCCACTTGGTATCCAAAGTCAGAGGCCATGATTACATATGGTTTCATCTCCCATATCTGAGTGTTTGTATTGTCAATTATCACAGGGCTAAAACCTCTGCTCACAGCTTGAAATACTCTACTCTGATTCCATTTATGAGCATTATCGAGTTGTTTAACATCATACGTAAATTCTCCACTACTGTTTTGACAAAAATAATCATCGGTACTAAAAACATGTAGTTTATAGTTGGTATCAAAGCCAATAGTAGACTCCAATATTTTTCTGGCTAAAAAACTCTTTCCTGATCCTGGTAAACCTCTCAATATAACAAGTTCTTTATAACCTTTATTGATGGTGGCAACTACGTTCTCAAATTCCACAGTTTTTTTTGATTTCCTCAAATTATGAGAGGAAGGAAGCATTTCGCTAATTTCACTGTTCAATCCTCTAAACATATCAATACTTCTTTTATCCTCTTAAGGGCCCAAAAAACTGAAAAAATTGAAATGCGACAATGATTGAGTTTCTATCAAACTGAGAAACGATTTCCATGAAGCAAAATGGAAATTTTTGCTGAGAAATGAAACTTTTTTTGTTTATCTGTGCAAATAATATCTAATAAATAAAAAATCTACATTGATTTGGTTGGCAGAAGGATTTTGGTCGATATTATTATTTCCACGTGTGGAATGTGGACAAACCATTTTCCCAAAGGAGATAAAAAACATTTTTCCTTCAGTGAGCGATAGAATTAATTGGCTCCCGCATTTTTCTTTCGACATTGCTTTCATCACAAGAAACATTGTTGTTTAACGATGGGAAAGTCGATTGATCACCGCCACTGAAATTTCGGACGAGGTGGAACCTCAGGCCCTTACTGTGTCAATGGAATTGTATATTTATCTTTGATACTGCCTGTTTCTCTACATTTTTGTGATTTCTTTATACTCCTCCCTATGAACAAAAACATTAGTATTACACTTCTCCAATAAATTAATGCATCACCAAAAAGTAGCCAAAAGTTTAGGAAATACTTTCGTCAAATCTACTTGTCCGATAAGAACCTCTTTTTCATGTATATTGGGGTGGAGTGTAACAGTTGCGTTATCAAGTTGAAATTATGAGTACACTCAAGCCTTATTTTATGTCAACATTTATTTTTTGGATTCACTCCATTATTTTTCCTATTTCTCCAGAAACACAATAATTTTATAGCTTAGCATGATTTCATTGGATTCAATTGGCATTATAAGCACGAAAGTAGCAGTCTATGGTCTGAGAAGGCATTTCTTTGACTAGGGACATGGAACTTGTGATCATAAATGGAAGCCTTACAGCTGAAAGGTGATTTTAGAACCACATATTGTGTAAGGATTTGATAATGCCAGGCCTCACGTCGCCCAAATTGTGAGAAATTATCTAGATGAAGTCTGTATCGCTACCATGGCATGGCCAGCTCAGAGCCCGAATTAAAATCCCATTGAGAATCTCTGGGACATTCTTAGGACAAGATTACAAGAGGAACGTAACTTGAATGTTTGATATTGATAGAACATGGTATCTACTGCAAAAATCTGAGTTTGAAAATTGTGAAAAGAAGATCAATTAATGAAAACATTTTGCAGAGATTAACTGTTCTATTTGAATGTCAAAAACGGGAGCAGATTTGTTCGCCAAAAGCCCAAAGTCAAGTGAAATTTTATATTATTTAATATGCAGTGTGACCCACTTAAGACCGGAGCACCCTTATAAAATAAGTAGTTTTCAATCGATTTCTTATTTCTTGTTTCAGCAGAAACCGTATACGTTTACAAAAATTTGCAAATTATAATTCTAATTTTCAGGACATACCATGTTATTTTTTCCAAGATAAAATGCCAAATACCATTAGCGATTTGAAAAATTTTGGTAACTCACCATTTTTTATGAATATTTGAGACAAATTCCGAGGAGTGGCAACATTGTCAACGCACATGTAGGAAATCATTGAGATTTCTGGTAGTCATTTGAATAAATAATTCAAATTATTATCGAGTTATAACATCTAAAATGACGTTTATCTTGATGTTCCCGAAAAGATTCATAAAATAATATATTCCACAACGTTGAGAAACCGGCTTGTCACAATTATCATCAACCAAGAATTTTCGTATCAAATAATAATCAAGTAATAAGTAATAGTCAATACATTTCGAATTTGTGTTGCTTCCACTAAACCACCATTTACTTGAAGAGATTTTTCATCCCTTTGGAATATTTTTCACAGTATTCCTCTCTTTGTTATTCTATGAATCTTTTCAGGAATACCAAGATAAATTCCATTTAAGATGTTATAACTGGATAATAATTTGTGATATCAAGGATATTGATTCAAATGTTGATCCAAAACCTCAATGATTTCCAATATTTGTGTTGACAATGTTTCCGCTTCTCATAATTGGTCAGAAACAGGGTTGGAATAAGTCATGACTTTTATAAAAAAGTCAAAAAAGTCTGACTTTTTGAATTAATTCGGACTTTTTTGAATTAATTCATTTGAGGAAAAATCAAATTTTATTTACTTGAACAAAATACAAGAACATCGCAAAAACTAAGTTTTCATTTCCGTTGAAAATCTCAAAGCATGACAATAAATACTTAAAATATGCCATTTTTGCAATATGAACTGAGACTATTTATTGAATGAAAAATGATGTTTATGCAACTTAAATTACTCATTCACAATCTTCATTATAGAGGCGCTTCACAGGTATTTTCAATAAAATGCAGCAATTTCCATGGCGCGCCTACGGATTGGTGTCACCTTGGAAAACAATTTTTCGATGCATTGCAAGAAATGAGTCCGGACCTATTTATTTATAATGTGGTAATTTGTATTACTGGTGCAATTCTAGTGGTGACATGTTAGCTTTTCGGAATTTCACTCATCATTAGATACACATTGGATCTTACTTTTCTTGCCTTTCTCATGGTTTCTTCTACCCAACTCTTGACCCAACTCAAAACTCGGTGAGAAGTAATACACAGAAACTATGACAAAAAGACATTGCAAGCCGGTAATTCCGATTCAGTGTTGAAAAGCCTACGTATTATTTTTGCCGGAAATATGAATTGGAGCAATCAATTGCATGCAATGAAATATTGTAAACTGTAAAGCGGCTCCTAGAAAATTTTGTTTTCCTCGTGTGGTGCTTCACGGTTGTCAGTTGTCAGATGCCATCGGATATTTCATTTTAAACTAGTTTGAATTGAAGGTAATAATGCGATTTGTTCCCATTTGATGAATTTTGAATTAAATCACGATTTATTTGAAAAAAGTCATTTGAATTAATTCACGAATTAAATCACTGATTTAATTCATATGAATTAATTCGTGCCAACCCTGGTCAGAAATATTCATAAAACGTGGTGAGTTACCAAAGGTGATGTTGTTACATCCGAGGTTATAACTTAGTTGCCTATCGAAATTTCCCAATTAGGCAATCCAAACCACGTGACATTTTAGCTGACAAGATGGCGTCTGGTTGGCAAACAAAGATTATACATCACTTATAATTAAATTGTATTTTGCCCGAATCACCCTTTTATTCTGGTAGTTTGATGTGTCAGGTGTTTGAGGGTGTCTCGGAGCTGAATTGAACAGTGCTTCAATATGCTGAGTTCATATTTCCAGAAGTTATTGCAGGAAAACCCAGAGGTTGGTCTGAGGTAAACATGAATATTTATTGTTTTTTCGGCTATTTTTCTCAACTAACCGGTAAATTTTCATTCCTGAAACTATCATACAACCATAATTTGTTTGTAGATATCTGTCGAAGCTGATGTTGATCAAGGATTTGAAGCCCTACACATCTGAAACTACTGACTGATTAGACTACCTCATAATTATACTCTCCTACTATTTATAGTGACCCACAGTTTCTACCCTCATGAGCAAATGAAAGCATTCAAAACCCTTGTTGTTCACAAGTATTTTTCAGCAACTTTTGTCCAGGAAGTAGACAGGAAGATGAATGATTTTCATGTCATATATGGAAAGGTAACTTTTTACTTTTATACCTAAATACCTTTCATGATAGGAACATTTTGAATGATGAAATTATGTTATTCATATATTTTTAAATATATTTCCTACCTCATATTCATGTATATCTTATGCAATTTTTTTTAGGTAAAATATTCACAATCAGATTCTGTGCTAATACGTAACTTGAGGCTTGGGCAAGTAAATAAGGAACAGTTTCATGTACTGATGTATGTGCTTTGTGACCCATGCCACCACTCTCACCATGATTGTGCCCATCATACCAATAGCAGAAATGGACATAGGTACAGTTGCTCTGAATGGTTTAATACAAAATCCCTACTATATCTTCAATGTCCAGAGAAACGTGTTTTTTGGGAACAACATTCACAAATTGCTTTGAAGTTTCATGCCGAAGTTATAATACCTGGAGTTTTGGGTGGATATTAATTTCACCAGAAGTGAACTATTGGTGTAAGTGTTCAAGTGCTGATGATGGAACCCCTATGACTAGTTGTGACAGTGATAAAGGGAAATTGTATGGTTCTATTTTGAATGTGCAGATATTTTAGGTACACCAGAATCAGCATGGTTTTGTGAATTCTGATTCAACAAGTTCTATAAAAAAATATGTACCTATTCATAATAAATATATCATTCAATCATTGTTTATTATTGTTTCAATCAGATCACTGAATAACTATAATGTTCTATGAAGATTTTTTCATGACTAATGTAGATCTTTTGTAATATAGTGGAATAATACAATGTATTTTTCATTCAATGAATATTACAATTATTTTGATATGCTTACTTTATTTGTCTTACATTTATAATTGATAAAAATAAATCACAACAGACTGTAATTTGTAAAAGTACTTATAATCTTGTAGATTTTCACCTTGTCTTCACCAATTTTCTCTTCTATTTCTCTATCTCCCAGGACACTTTCTTCATTACACTAGAATAAATGGAAAATGATGTAGTAGAAGTATTAGGTAATCAGGTGTTTTCTTGAGAACATACCAGGTCTCTAGGTTCTGATGCTTGATTCATGATTTGAACCTTTTGTCTGCTCTCAGTTTTTGATCCACATCAGTCTTGCATTTCTAATGGACAAGAGATTGATGAACCATATTATATTGCAATGGGACCCAAGCTGGATATTCTCATCTTTCAGGCACTATGTTCTCCTACAATAAGGTAGATGATGAATTCATGTATTAGAAACATGAAACATGATGTTTCCAAACTATGTAGGACCATCAAAAGTAATGAGTATTGGTTTATTTCATCAAAATGAAAAAAAGATTAGTATTCCATAGGATGAAACACTAAACTCATCAGTTCTAGAGTAGGTAGGTACATATAAATAATATTAAAATCTTTTTTCTTAGGTACCTGTTATGAAAATAGTGTCTGCCACATATCCTCTGGTTTATTATGATTGATTCTGTTGCTGATTCTT